AGACATCATGGAGCTGATCAGGAATGCTGGGCTAATAAAGACTGTGATGAAGTTTGACAAATGTTATGAAAATCTGGTTAAAGAGTTTGTAGTGAACCTATCCAATGATTGTGCTGATGGGAGGTCAGCTGACTTTGAGAGTGTGTTTGTTAGAGGAAGAAGGGTCAAGTTCTCTCCATCAGAAATCAACAAGTTTCTTGGAAGAACGAATAAGGACTGTCCTGATCTAGAGGCAACTGACAATGAAGTATGCTTGACCATCACTGCCAGGCAAGTAAAGTGCTGGCCATTGAAAGGGAAGTTGAATGCTAGTAAACTCAGCATGAAATTTGCCATCTTGCATAAAATAGGTGCAGCAAACTGGGTGCCTACAAATCACAAATCAACCATCTCCACAGGATTGGGGAGATTCATCTATGCTGTAGGAACCAAGACTGCCTTTGACTATGGAAGGTACATTTTTGAACAAACCTTGAAGCATGCTGGCAGTTATGCTGTCAAAGGACCAATTGCCTTTCCCTCCCTCCTTTGTGGAATCATCCTTGCACAATATCCTGACATACTTGTAGCAAGAGATACAGTCTGCAAAAGAGCCCCTGCCCTTGGCCTGCACTACAAACTGTTTCAGGGATCCCATGCTCCAGACATTGTCATAACATCAGCTGAGACATCGTCTGCAAAGAGCCAGTCCAAAACATCAGATGTCATAGCTGTCTTAAAAGAAACCTGCAAAGATCTGGATGCTAGAAAAAGGACCCTAGAAGCACTAATTGCCAAGCTAGAAAAGGAAGAAGCTGAAGCAAGCATGAGGGAAGAAGATGAAGGACAGCTCAACAGTGAAGAAAGTGGCTCCTCTGAGTCTGATGACAGTACTTGAAGGATGATTGCTGCTTGGTGGTGTTGCTGGTGGAGTTTGGAAGTATGTTCTGCTATTGTCTGCTGCTGATCTCATTATTTTGTCTTGGATAACTGTATAACTTTATAAACATGTAATCTTTGGCCCATTTGTGGCTAAAGTGGGGGAGAATATTTGGTACTGCTTAATTAGTACTTAACACTATATTTTTCTGCTGTCATTTATTTCTGCTGCTATCTATCTATCTCTGATTGTTTAGGGACTTTAGCCAAAAATCTGCCAAAGGGGGAGTTTGTAGGTGTTTAGGTATTGGCTTGCATTTTTGGTAAATTCCAAGTATATGTGTGAATGTCATGACTGATGTCATAACATTCTAGTTCAGGTTGTACTAGCTCTTTAGGTACATGTGCAGAAAAATATTGTAACTCAAATACTGATGTTTATAAGTGTGTATCTGAGCATGTTTGCAAAATGATCACATTTTACTAATCAGTAGACAGGTTTTCTCAGATGTCATAACAGATGTTATGACATCCTGTTCTGAACTAGCAGGATTACAGGATTGGATAAGTCTGAGTTTTTTCAGGAAATAACTCAGTCCTTCCTAAACAGAATCCTGCGTTTTCTGAGGAGTAACCTAGCTCAATCCTAACCTGATCAATGAAGTACTGTGACCTGGTCTTAAGGTCAAACGGAATCAACCCTAGGTTTTTGGAAACCCTAACTGAAGTTGCAGCTGCTATATATTCAACAGAGCTGCGGTTTTTGAGATCATCCCTGCTGATTGATTAGAAGATCAAGTTTGTAATCTGTATAGATTTGTTAATTGTACTCCAAGCAATTATCATTGTGATAAGTGTCTTGGAATAGGTTTCAATTGTAAGGGTTGTGTAGCACTCAAAGCTTTGAAGCAAGAGTGTTTGAATGTTACTTGACTAAAGCTGTGAAGCAGAGTCAAGTTAGTTGTGTACATCACTCAAAGTTGTGAAGCACGAGTGATTGTGTTACTTGATTAAAAAGCTGTGAAGCTTAATCAAGTGTGTGTTTTGAAGAGTGTCTTCAACAATTCTCAAGTCAAATTTGTTTATGTATCACTGCTGTGATTGAGGGGGAGTGAGTAGGAACTCAGGTTTAAGTTGTACTTAGATTAGAATTGCATTGGGTAGGTCTTAAGTGAAGGAGATAAACTGGTTGGTTTATTCCTGAATTAACATCTCTTATAGTGGATTCTCTCCCTGGCTTGGTAGCCCCCAGAGTAGGTGTTGTTGCACACTGAACTGGGTAAACAATTGACTGTGTTGTTTACTGCTTTTGTATTTACTGTCATATAGTAAGTCAGATACGGTGTCATAACATCGGACGTGACATTAAGTATCTGTAGCCAGAATTTTCATTAAACATAATAAAATCTAGTTAAACAAGAATTGTGGCCTCCAGCATATATGAATAATGGAAAGCTTCCTCACATTTATGGGTAAAAAAGGAAACTAAAGTGATTCAAGTCATGAGCAAGTAATGCAAAAAGAATAAATAGAATCGTAGTTATATAAATGATAAATTTCCTAAGCATGTTATATTATTGAAAGCGATAAACGAGTACCTGGAGGGTACCAATTTAAAAAACTATCATTACCATACATCCGCAAGTTGACGCACTCAAAATCAGAAATTCACCAAATGAAACTTCAAGCTATCTAACCAAAATTTGAATCCAAACAACAAAAGAAAGAATTAAAAATACTAATATTTATTACTTAACTATAAAGCCTTGGGTGAAGTGGGAAAAAGGAGAGCCAAGCGAAAAATTAAAAAGAATTCACTGGCTTTGCACAGTAGGGCGCGCTAAGCGCGCTACACCAATTGCAGAAAAATGGGACAGCTGGTGCAACTGCTATGCAAGCTCCACTTACACCTACACAACCTCAAACATACAATATTTATACAAACTTCCTCAAGTAAAACACGACAAGCTTGTTGAAAAACACAAATTGACATAACAAAACAAATGGTTGAAAGTGAATTAACAAGTTGAAAAGTGAAAATTTAATAATTTAAAACATGTCCAATTTCAACTTGTTAAAGCATAATTCAACACATACATAAACAAATACAAACAAAACATGCTTGTTTTACATCTTAAGATTGACGCATTTATTATGCGAGCTAGTAACCTCCTCTCGTCATGTCATGGTATTGTCACACCGCGTAAACCTAAAGAAACTTTCCTAACAAGTACACAAAAAACGTTACAAAAACGAGACAATTCACAACAATACGTGAAAACGAAGAAAAACACATATATGCACAAGTATGGAAAGTAAACACAAAACATGTACAAGTAAAAATAGAAAAGTTTATGTACACTCAAAAACAAAGAAAATATCACAATGTGAAACTATAAACGCCAATCCCTTACAACAGCGTCATTTTGCTGGATGTGGTAAAGCGGCAAGCAAAAAGTAACTTATTAATTTACCGGGTGATATTTAGGTTATATAGTATCGTGTCCAAAGAGATTGATGTATTGATATGTCATTCGACAAATCTCTCGTTTATGAGTTTGTGGTATAAATGAGTTCAAAGTAAAGGTATCAAAAGAAAATAAATCTATAAAAAGGAAAAAGGAATAACTTATCAAGCATGCATATATACTACTTCTCGCATACTTAAACCTATCGACATGTTATACTAAACCTATAATATTCATTAATGACATCTCATGTCAAACACAACACCCATTGTATCACCTCGGCGGAGATCTCTCAATCAACCTTAACAACACAGAAGTCAATTGTGCTCGCTTACATCCACAATCTCTTAGAGTGACACAAACAACACAGCGACATTAATCACATACACCCTAAGTGAATAACAATGTTGAATCTATCTCTAGAACTCAAACACTATTACATAACCATCCTATATAAGATTAGAAGTAGTATATGTCTATAGAAACTCAAATCCCTAGCAAAGAGAAAAAATCAAGGATAACAATCAACAAAGATTTGTAAAGCAAGTTTTATATAACGCCAAAGGCAACAAATATATATGAGTTCAAAGAAAATACATATACAAACCCAACCAATAGAGAATACATAAAGAAAAAGAGAAATGATCCACAAATCTATCGGTTTGTCAGCGCCGATCAAAGAGAAATCCACCCCGGATCATCTGTATGCAAGCTCCGTAGTTGTTATCTAAGCTAATTCTAAAAAAATTGGAGGTTGTTGGAGTTGGGATAAAAAACTTCCCCAAAATCATTATAAAAAATGAACTAAAAATGAAGTTAGAAAACAAACCTCAGCAGACCATGCTTAGCGGGCTGACCGTGCTAAGAGGGCCGTGTGATATTTACACATTAAACAGATCTAAACAGCGCTAAGCATGTTATCCGCACTAAGTGGGCTCCAAAACAATGCTTCTGCTAAAATGTCAAAACGCAAGCAGCGCACTACAAAATATGTTGAGCACACTCGCGCTTAGTGGCTTTCTGCGTTCTTAGCGAGCTCTCTTGGGCAAAACATCTCAAAACATGTATTTTATTCTGAAAACGCACATTCGGAACCCTGCCTTTGACACCTTATTCCTCGATGCTCCAAAATGCAACAAATACCTACAAAATGAATGGAAAAATATCAAACAGTACACTATGTACACAAAAACACAAATAAAGACAAACTAAATGTATTTACACAAAAGTCGGGTTTATTCAATGATTATTAACAATAAAGAGTTGACAAGTGCAACAAAAAGTATATACAAAAATAACTACAATTTGCACTTATCATGCACCCATACTTACTTGATCGTCGAAGTGCCTTGTAGGTACATCCTCCTCCTCTCCTCATATTTCCACCCAAGCAATCGTCATCATTAAGGCCCACTTTCAAGTTTTAATCAACCAGTAAGATCAGAACTAATAGGAAATAGTGTACGAGTTTGTTTTGCTTTAAAGCATACATCACATGGTTCATCTTTATTTCTACGAAAATCATTATTACTAACACCGGGAAGAAGGCTAACTATTTTTGAAGATAGATGTCCAAGGCGTCGATGCCATACTTGATAAGAATTTGCATCAATTGCATGACATAATTGAGTTGTTGGTGCCATCAAGTGAAGCTAGACGACCCCGTCCCTCTCTTCACCCGCTCCAATCACCATCCTCGAAGTGCAGTCTGTAACACCCTTCTAAATCCCACATATAATTTATGAATAAATAAATTAAATATTCACCAACACAAGGTTACCACATTACATGTAACACTCGAGGCCAACGAGGGCAGGAGGAGTGGTTGTCGGTGCAAGAGGCATGACAATGAGACACTCTCGAGGTTGAAGAGGACAAAAGTGGTTGATGGATTCACATCAGAATGAGAGGGATTCTGAAGTTGTGTAGGTATGAGACACCATGGTTGAAGGAAGGCTTATAGGATTGATTTGTACTACTTATACCAACAAGATGCATATTCTTTTCGGTATCAAATTCCATAAGAACTCCACAACTAAGTGTGATTGACTTAGAACAATCTTGGGATGGATGACCTTTTGGGAAGTTTCCCGAAAAGCGTATGAGTGAGGCTAAATCATGCTTGAAAGACTTGTGTTGGTTTGTAGGGTCAGCCGATAATCCTGAAAGTAGACTGAGGCATTACAAATGGTATCAGAGTCAGACCTGTCCTAGTATTATGTGGTTTGGGGACGAACCAAGCAGAAGATGATGGAGATGTAACACATGAGGCTAACGAGGGCGAGGAGAGTGGTTTTCGATGCATGAGGCATGAAAATGAGACACTCTAGAGGCTAAAGAAGGTGAAGAGTGGTCGATGAATTTACATCATAATGAGAGGGATCCCGAGGTTGTGCAAGTATGAAACTGCATGGTTGAAGGAAGGCTTATAAAGATTGATCGGTACTACTTATACCAACAAGATGCGTATTCTTTTCGGTATCCCATTCCATAAGAACTCCACAGTTAAGCGTGCTTGACTCAGAGCAATCTTTTAATGGGTGACCTTCTGGGAAGTTTCTCAGAAAGCGCATGACTGAGGCCAAAGCATGCTGAAAAGACTCGTGTTGGATTGTGGGGTCAGTAGGTAATCCTAAAAGTATATTGAGGAGTTGCACGGTCCTGTATCATACATAGCTTATCAGTTAATGTGACTACACAATTTAAATATTTGATCAATTGGGAAAAAGAGATCAAATTGCAATTTAGTCTAGGAACATATAGAACATGTTGAATGGTCCAATTATCACCAAGAGTTGTTGTCCATTCTTGGACAACATTAGCATGTGCCCCATTGGGTATTATAAAAGAGAAGGAAAAATATCTGAGAGATCAATAAGCAAGTGTTTATCTCCAGTCATATGATATGATGCCCCAGTATCCAATATCCAAGGAGAAAAATACTTATCTGTCAATTTCTTATTTGAGGAAGGTTTATTATTTAAATACTTGAACATATTCAAGATAGTGTTCCATTGATCATCTGTTAAAGTATGACCAACATCACTTTTGTCTTGGGTTGTCAGAACAGGTGATGCAGAAAAAGATGATGTTGCATATTGAGCAACATTAGCAACACCAAGAATACATTTTCCATCACCAACAACACATTTTCCTTTTTCGGTGCTCTTTCCATTTCCACGTCCATTATTCCACCACTCTAGATAGCCAAAAAAATTTAAGCAAGAAGCGGTTTCATGGCATGACATCCCATAGTGGAAGCGGACAGTCATCTCAAAACACCATTTAGATCCACCGTGGTTAGAAGAACCCCCACGGAAAACAAAGGCGACAAACTCATTATGTGCCTCACGCCCTTTCATCAAGGTATTGTGGTGCTCTTATTGAACCACTAGAGAATACACTCGGTTTAAGGAAGGAAGTGGATCTTGAGCAATAATGTTATAATGAATTGTTCCATACAGATCATTATCCAAGCCCATCAAGAGTTGGTGAACTCGCCCATCCTCACATTCCTTGCTAAAATTCGTTTCCCATTTGAAAACACATTTTCCATATGTACAAGCCCTTTTTGTGAGATATATTGACAAATCATCCCAAATTTTCTTTAGATTCCCGTAGTAAGCAGCAATGCTCTAACCATTTTGATATAAACATGCTTATTCATATCGTAGTTGAAGAATACGTGGTATGTTGCCGATAGAGAATCGCTGATGTAAATCGTCCCACAACTCTTTTAACGTATCATAATACGTGTTAGCACGAATATATGAGCTGATGGATTGAATAATCCAAGCAGAATATATTTGACACTCCACTAATTCTCGATCTCGCTTGCATCAACAGCTGGTTATGTCACTGTCCTGTCCAAGAAACTGAGTTTGCGCTTTGAACGAAATGCATTACGCATACTGGTTTCCCATACTTGATAATTGTCACCCTTCAAAGATACCTGACAATTTTCATGATAGGATGACCAAAAAGTTTCAAATAATACAGTGATGTCGTATTGAGAAGAATCAACTTCTTCCCTTTGTCGCCGACACTCGAATGAGAAGAATTATGTGTACTTTCTCCATTAGAATTTCTTTAAGCCATGGTACTTTATTGAGACTGGCATAAAACTAAAGGAGGAGAAAAATCATAGTATCAATTTAGGTTTTGTAAACCCAATACCGATACCATAAAAAGATAATGTGAGGCAATTGTCAGCCTTTGTCATTCATTGGAAAAGGATTATATGCATAGATTTCCAAAACTACATGCCTAAAGTACAACTGCTAATTGTTTACTAATTAAATGCTAAAATATAGCTACTAATTATTAACACAATATACTCTAGTCCCTAAGATTTTTTCTTGATATTTTCATTAAAACTGACATGAGCTTTTGTAACACCCTGTAAATACACGTCTAGAATAATATGCAGTGATCTTATAAATGGTACATAGAAACATACAAAAGCGGGAATTAACAATAATTTAAATTCATATACAATTCAACTCCAAAAATAAAATGTATACAAATAACTTATCAATAACAACACACAGCAGAAATATAAGATTTCATGAGGTCTTCCTGTCATCTGCTCACCAGCAGTCTTCAAAACTGGCCCTCTAGCAATTATTCTACTTAAAACCTGCTCCTCAAAAATAATAAGAGGATTGGGATGAGATTACTAAATCTCAGTGAGTTCCCCTATCTTATGGGTTCACTCGGTTCTAAAAGGTGCATGCATCAAAATGGATCCACTATGGACCCAGGGTTTCCTCACGGCTAGGCGTAAGTACACAATAAGAGGTAACGTCACCACTAAATGTCACATGACTAACCAATGAGACGAAAACAAACATATTGTCAAACACAAACAAGAGGTAACGTCACCACTATGGTGGCCCATGCAACCAGACCCTCAGTGAGTGACCCAAGTGCATCACGTCAAGAGACTTTCACATGCACACCGCTAGATGAATCGGATAAGTCCTAAGTGGAATTTCATATGTGACGAGTTACCACAATGGCATTGCCTAAGTGGTGTCATAACCATGCCAACCATCCAAACATAGGTGAATTACCAAGTGCAAACCACGCCTTCTCGACAGCACAAGCCCACTGGGATAAAGCCTAGTGATGTAGCCTACTTGGCACCACTAGAGTCGAGTACCTGAAGTGACATTGCCTACATGCACTACTACAAAACGTACAAACAACAACGCCCAAGTCACCACGTCAAAAGATCGACCATGGTAGAATCTATTAAACTAGGCGCTTTTTTTATTTTTATATTTAAGCCACTTTTCACCACAATTGGAAGTTCCAACCGTGACAAAAAGTGGCGCATGGTCATGAGTTTGAATCTTGTTGTTGTTGCTTTTCCACTGTTGCATTTTTTATATTTTATTAAAATACATACAACAACAGTTATTTAATACAATTGTTGTTATATGTAGTGTATTTTTTGAGTTTCTTCACCATCCTTAAATAAATCTCAATCATTCATTCAGTGACTATCAACGCTCAGGACACTACCGTTAGTGATCCGCGTGAAACTTAAAACTTAGGCAAACTTCCAACTTAGACGAACTTCATCTTCTACCTTCAACCATCAACTTTCATTTACGACACCCTATTTCTCCACTAAACCAAGCTCGAAATATCATTTCTTCCATAAGAAAAACTCGAAAGCATCATTTCTTTAATTTATAAATTTTAGAACTTCGTCATTTATTCTCCATCTTGAATGAGACAAGGAAAGTATGGATTCAAGTTAGCAACGTTAGTTTGTTGTTGTTCTTATTTTTCTTTTTTTTAGTTATTTTTATTATTGTTGTTCTTGTTCTTGTTCTTATTATTGTTGTTCTTGTTGTTGTTCTAGTTATTGTTGTTCTTGTTATTGTTGTTGTTATACGTTGTTGTTGTTATTGTTTTTCTTCTACTTCTTGTTTTTTTTGTTCTTGTTCTTGTTGTTCTTGTTCTTGTTGTTCTTATTTTTGTTGTTCTTGTTGTTGTTCTTGTTGTTGTTCATGTTGTTCATGTTGTTTATGTTGGTGTTATTATTGTTCTTGTTGTTGTTCATGATATTCTTGTTGTTGTTCATGTTGTTCTTGTTATTGTTCTTACTGTTATTGTTGTTCTACTACTTTTTTTTTATAATTTTATTAAAAGACATACAACAACGGTTAAGTTAACTAATCATTGTAATATCACACAAACTTTCCAGTATATGACAACGGTTCCAGGACCATGATTGTAAGTAACACATTTACAACAACACTCTACATAATAACACATGGACCCGCGTGGTTATATATCTTTTCCAACTATTGTTAAATGCCTTTTTCGTAGTAGTGATGACATCACTAACTCACCATATCAAGCACGCTGATGAGTTACCAAGTGGGAAATGCCTTATAGACCCCCACTTGCACATTTCAATGGTAGCTCGGGTGTGTATGACATACCGAGAACACCAATGAGGTACCAAGTGGGAAATTCCCAACAGACCCTCACTTGCACATCGTAACGGTAGTACCTATCGTAAGAGATTCAATACCTAGTAGCCTAGGCCTACTTCGGTTTAAGCATACATCCAGTCATTTCACGCATCAAGCCACACAGGCAACATCACCGAATATTCAATCGAAATAAACAGAAAGCAACAATTGATTACTGTTGTACCCCAAAATTTTCCCTCCCATATTCTCCAAGAAATTGCCAAATCAAAACTTCAAAATTCCCCAAGGGTTACACAGTGCAAAGACCTCCTAAGCAGTCAAAATTAGGGTTTGTATTCTGGTCAAGAAAATGAAGTTTCCAAAGGTCCAGTCAAGTCTCATGTGCCTACAAATATGGTCAAGCATCCTCATATCAAGTTTCAAGACATTCAGCTCAAAGTTGCACAGTCAAAAACCCTAATTGCACTACAGTCAACTGTAGGGGCAAAATGGTCATTTGACAGTCAAAAGTTCAAATTTTTGGTCAACATATCATTTTGAAGCCACAAACATCATTTGATCAATGCTTGATCATGATTCTCAAAATTTGGCTCAGAAATCATCAAGATGCAAAAGTTTCCTTATTTGGACAGCTGAAAAAGTCAACTGAAATTGACCAGGGCATAACTTTCACATGGATTATCAGAAAAATTCCATCCAAAGCTCATTTTGAAGAGAAAGACATTTCCTACAACTCATCTGCATACTTCAAGTCCAAGAAATGCTCTCACAAAAAGTTATCAATTTCAACATTATAGGTCATTTTCAAAAGTCAACAAAAAGGGACTTTAAGTCAAAGGCCATAACTTGAGATTGGTAAATCAAAATGACATGGGACCAAAGACATTGGTTAGAGGACTCAAAGTCCTTTCCAAAATGTCCAAGAACATGAGAAAATCTTAAAAATTGAGCAAGTTATGCCTTGTGGAATTTGGGAAATTTTTGGATATTTTGAAAAGTCAACATTACTTCAAATGACCTAAAATTGCTAATGGGCCCATTTTTCTTCCATGATTCATCATTCCAAACATGTGCACGACCACTTGGCCCAAAGGGAAGTATTTTCTCATTTTTATTTATTTATTTGAATTTTTATTTATAATAATTCACTTAAATCAATTAAATATGTGAAAAATATCTAACTTAACCTAACCAATCTTTTTATACATGTTTTAGCCTCAAAATTTCGTGCATAAGTCAATATGGAAAGAATTGGAGCAATTGGATATGATTTGAACCAAAAACACATGGAAAAAGATATGGAAATCATGGTGAAAGAAATCAAATCTTCAAATCATGAATGAAAGAGATTTTGATCAATTTTGTTAACCTAATTTGTTCACTACATAAGCTAGAATGAAACCCTAATCAGAATGGACACTAAGCTGCGCAAAAGAACACAAAGCAAACTTGAAATTTTTCTCCACAAAGTCAATTCTGAAAACATCCTTCCAAGGCGATTCAGGTCTCAATTCTTATTCCATTAGCTTCCTTGAACAACATAGGACGTATTCCAATCAAAAACATCAATCAAAACGCTGTGAAACGGTATCCAGAAGTCACACTTTTCTCCATTTTTTTTCATTATCGTGTTTTAACATTTATGCACGTTCATGGCATTTTGATTATATATTCATGATCAGTGAAGTGTTTGCAAGCTAACCATATGCCTTAATTTGATTATCATGCGCTATAGGCAAATACACCATGTTCGTTTTTTAGGGTTGCAGGAGTTATGATTTGGGGCTTTCCCCCCAAAGAAAAATTAGCCTTCAAGACCTGTGCCATTAGATTCAGCAGGTTTGGACGAAGAAGATACCATACTCGCGCCTAATTTATGGACCCTCTAGACCTATTCGCTATTTTCC